GGGGGGGGGGGGAGGGAGCGTTTCTTCCCTCCGGAACTTGAGGAGGTGGGCTGTGTTCAAAGACTATTTCGCGCGAAGCGAGATGGGAACGGTGTGTTCGCCGAAGAAAAATTCGAGAAGGAGAAGAGGAAAAGGAGAAAGAGAGAGAAAGATAGGGGGAGGAGAGGTGTGGGCGCGGGTGGCGGCGGCGCGGCTGCCAAATGAATCCGCCGACGGAGCTCGCATGCGCGCGGCCGGCAAAAATGTTCTCGCGCAATAAAGAGGTGAGCTACCGAGCTCTCTGAAGTGTCGGAACTTTAAGTGTTGCTTTGACGCGCAGCCGGGGCGGGCAGTTAAAGCGGCCGGCGAGCGGGGGAGAGGGTATTCGCCTGTGTCTCTCTGAGCGGGCGCCTTCTGACGCGGTTTGGCAACCAGAAGGGGGGAGAGAGAGAGAGAGAGAGAGGAAACACAGCGAAACGGCGTGAGAGCACGAAGCCGAGGCGGAAAGAGAGGAAAAGGGAAAGAGCGAGAGAGAAAAGCACACGCACGCAAAAGGGAGTCCCGAAACGGACGCGACGAGCAAGAGACGAGGGAGAGAGAGAGAGAGAGAGAGGAATAATATCCACCACAGCGAGAGATCATAACTCATAGCCCATTAAGAGGCCTCGAACTGGCCGGGCTGCCACTTTGATACAGTCCGGGGGCATCAAAGACATTCCGCGCGCACGGCAGCGCGCGCGCGCGGCCCGCGATAAATCTCGGGACGGACGATTACGCCGACTTGAAGCCTCGAGCTGCCACGTCGGCGGAATCGGAGCGCGTCCTCGGCCGGCTGGATCGAGGGGCCGATTATCGAGAGGAATGGTTCGCCGAACGAGAGGGATTGCCGAGAGTCGCCCCTCTGACTCGGCGGACTCGCCAAGTGATCCGCGAGCCGTTACCGAGGTGAATGGGATCTTGTCTCGTTCCCCCCCTCTTTCTCTCTCTTCAGTATTGTCGGGCGAGCGATCGGACGAAGAAAGGAAGAAAATGATTTATATTCCGTTCGCAAAATTTCGGAGACTTCGAAATCCGCGCTGTCTGTAATTACACAAGATGCATGAAAATCCGGAGCGGGGATCAGAAATGATCGTCTTAAGAGCGCGATGCATATCGTTTCAGGGTAAACAGATAGGCGAACAGGGTATTCACCGGGAAGCCCGCATTAGTCTGGCGAAGCCTCGGCGGTGCCGTCGAAGACGGCGAGTCTGGTCGGCCGACGCGATCGGTTCGCCGCGATGATGTGCGACCTCGTCGTTGCATCGAGAGGCTCTCTTTCTCTCGGTGACGTGCTGATGTCGATTGTGAAACTCTCTTCCGTCACACACACACACACACACGAATCGAGCGCACGATGATTTCAGTCTCGGCGCGGCTGAGCGCGCCGCGATTAATTTTACGCGATTAATTTCTTTCGTCGCCGCGCGTTCGCACGCGCTCCCCGATGATTGATTAGCGCGGACGGCTCGATTACGATACGTTCCGCGCGGAATATTGAAAATTCACGCTGCGGCCGCGCCGCTAATGCCGCAGAATTTCAATTACGCGCGAGAAGGGCCGTTCGGCCGGCGTCTTCCGCGAAGCTTTATTAGCGCGGTAGGTGGTCCCGGCGATTCCTCCTCGTGTTTGGACACCCGCCTCCCCGTCGCCCCCCCTCCCTCGGTCCTCCTCCCTCTGCCCCTCCGTCCCGTCTCCTGTTTGTCTCGTCGGAGCGGTAATTAGCTGACACGCGTAATCAAAGGAGTATGTGAGACGAGTTTGCGAGAGGAGTACGCGAGAGGAGCATGTGCGCGTCGGAGACGACGACGACGACGTTCGAGGGATCCTCGGAGAGGTCGATACAAATGGTGCCGCATGCGGGATAACGGAGGACGCGTCATTAATCCTCATCGCGCGGCCCGAAGGCCGAATTAGACGTCGCACGGTTTAGTAGGCCGTGATTAATACATGGACCGACCGCTCGAACTCCCGATCGCACGGACTATCTCTCTTTCTCGGCGAGAGGATCGACAGGATGACGGACAGTGTCGTCCATACGACCCGTCGAATCCTCCCGAGCCGGTCCTCCTCACTCGGTTGATGACGTATCGCGTTCCACGAAGCCGATGACGTCGCCTGGCAGGCTCGCCGTCGCTTCCGCTGGAACGCCGATGTCTTAAATAGCCTCATCGAGAGAGAGAGAGATTTGCAGCGTACAGATCGAGAAGTTTGCAGATAACACGTTGAAGTATGGGTTGTGTAAGGTTTTACTCCAAGTTAAGACATGCACCGTGAGGCGATAACTCTCGCCAACTTGAATATCTTCGAAGTCCGAAATTCGGACGTGATATTCATTAAAACATCGTCACTTATGAAGGGGCGTTAGACAAAATCAACAAAAGTGGCGGTGAGATATTTAAAAGTTGCAAAAAAACAAAAAAAAACCTTTCTGTCTAAATGAATTTCGTCGCGTGTGTATCCAGCAGAAAAGTGTGTGTCTTCTGGAAATTAAGGGGAAACGAATTTTCCTGTTGGATGCAGGTTGCGTTGCGAAGTTAATCGAGGAAAGTGTTGCGGCCTTAAGGCTGACTCTGTGCCGCATTTCAGCGCCCTAAAGACGCGAATCGACGTTTCCGGTGCTCAAGGCTGAAAACGCCAAAGACGTCGATTCACGTCTCCGACCGGCGGTGTGTGATGTGTAGCAGATACACACGCACATTTGACGAGTGCGGGGCGAATGGTCAAGTTGATTTGAATATCGCCGCGTTACGCGCCGACGATACGTGTCTCGCGGCGAGCGGGCGGGCGGGCGGACGAGCGGCCGCGCCGCTGCGTTTTTCACGCTCCGTAGCGGAGCTAATATGATGAAATTTCCGGATTTGTATTGCATCGGATATGTGCGATGCGCTGCATAAACGAATCAGTAATTCACTCACCGTCCGTGATGCGGCCCGACGTTTCCGCTGTCGAAGCTGGAGCTCGCAGTGATGTCCGTATCGGGAATCGCGCCCGACTCCATCCCCAGGGGTGCGATGCATTGTGCTGCGAATAAAGGAAATCGCTTCAATTATACGTTCGCCCGAGAGCGAGGATGAACGAATGAATGGACGGACAAACGACGTGAACTTCCTCACGCTCGCTTTAGACGGTACGTCGCAGAGGAATCGCTACGTGCAAAGTGCGCTCCCCGAAATTCTTTTAGAATTCGGAATTCGAAAAAAGTCAGCTTCGAGTTTTTCGACGACTCTGTGCAGGAATTCGTGGATGGACGAATGCGTTTCGGTTGGGAACAGAATTCCCGGTCCTAATAACCGAACGTAGTTCGCGAAATTTGCTTTTCTCCGAGCAAAACGGTATTCGGTTCGTTTACCGTCGCGTTAATTCGACCGAACTTTTTCCCCGTATTCCCTTATTATTTCTGCGAGAGGAAAATCCCGAGTTCACCGAGCTTTCGTTACGCGTCCCACCGTCGCGACGTTACTTCTTCTGGGTTCTTCCCGGTTAAACCCGCGTGACTCATCCGTGCCGTGGCGTTCCGACAGGTTTCCACGCAGAAGAAATTCACCACGAACGGTCCCGTTTTTATCAGCTCGCGATTATTACCGGCTCTCCTGGCGCGATACCGGGAACGGATTTTCATTTGGAATCGAAGAAGGACAAGTGGTGGTGCGTATGACCCGAAATTATACGAGCCAGCTCCGACTGGCCGACGATCAAAGCCGCTGCTCGCGAACGAGAACGGCCGTTATATCTTGAGCGAAGAACGGTCAAAGCGGATCTGTTGGCGCGGCGCAAGATCGCGCCGGGATTCCCGGGAAACGAGCGAATGATATACAGCTCTTTAGCGGGAAATTGTAGCGAGATGCGGCGCGGCGCTTCGGTAAACTCGATAAATCCCGCTGGAAAATTCAGCCCCGAATGGCCGTAACGACAGCTGTTTCCTGAAACGTCGTCGTCGTCGTCCTTGTCCGGACCGTGAACGATTATCGAGCTCGTTTATTCGTCCGACGATCTCGAATCCACAAACTTTTCCTCCCCCGCCCGCCCGTTCTTCATCGTCGTGGAAGTCTGGCACCGCCGGTCGGGAGGACGTCGAAAATAAGAGGGTTGTAAACATCTCGTACTTTTTCCGAGCGTCGCTCGCGAAACTCGGAGTCTCAAGCTGGATAGGAAGAGGAAGAGGAGGAGGAGGAGGGAATAAAAATTTATCGCTACTCTCGTCGAGATTCAGACGTTCGCTCCGACTCCTTCAGCAGCGCGAGTCTCTTAATGATCTCTTAATGATCCGTTAAGTGCGAGACACCAACAAGACGTCACGGACGCGCGAGATGCATTCTCGTACTATCTCTCTCTCTCTCTCTCTCTTTCTCTCTCCGGAGAAAGAGAGGAAAGAGCACGGGTGAACAATTCGTAAAGGAGTAAAAATAATGTTGCAATCTATTGTTCTACCTTCTTCTCTCTTTCTCTGATGAGCAGCGTTAACACGACTTTCTACAAACCTCTGCAAATTTCAACGAAATCTTTCGAACACAACTAAATCAAATTCTAAGTGAATCTCGTTAATATGTTTATCGTTTACATGTATACACTGAGACAAGTTATAGTTAGTTTCGGTGCCAACTATAACCTTTTTATAGTTTTAACCACAAAAATAGTAACAATACAAGGCTATTATCACTAACACTATAATAACATTCATTAGCAAATTGCTCTCCCTGACTATAATTCTTCTACTATGATGATTATAGTTACAAACATACCAAATATTTTTTCTCAGTATACTTTAGTCCTCAGAAGGGCTTGCCCTATAATAAACGCTTCTCTCTCTCTCTCTCTTACACAGAGCGTTTTATTTCCATCGTCCCGGCAGACGGAGAAACAATCACGCGGCGGAATTTCCGGTAATCATCGGCAACCCGTCCGGGCCAAAAATACTCGCGAGAAAAATACTCTCCGTAACCTCGGCCGTCGTCGTCGGAGGGGATTGAAAAACGCGGCTCGACAAATAAGAGCCGTAATCGGTGCTCCCGGGCGGCACGATCCGCGGATTCCCGGAGATCGATCGTCTGTTCGCGGTCCTCCCGCTCCTTCCGGGCGGGCATCCCGCGCGCGCCAGCCACGAAAGTCGCATCCGTCGGCTGCGACGAGTGCTTGGGGTAGGCAGGCAGCCGATGCAGGCACAGGTTCGATTCTAGTATTTATAGACATCCTGGAAAAGAGCGCAGGGAAGGAGCGAGGAGGAGGAGGAAGAAGAAGAAGAAGAAGTAAGTTATGCGACGTTTGGCCCGCCCCAGCCACTCATTCGGCGACCATAACTCTCAGGGAGTGACAGCTCCGAACGGAAGGGTGTGTGCCGCCCTCCATCCGCGAGAAGAGGGAAATTGAATGCCTTCGCAACCCTCCTCGCGCGCTCCGCGACTACCTTCTCTCTCTCTCTCTCTCTCGTTTTTCCTCGGTACCGTTCTAACCCTCTCTCTTTCTCGGTCGTCCTCCGTCTCTAACCGCGTCACTGTCAAACTGATAACCGCTTCTTTCCGGAGACGGAGCTCCTCCGCGAAACCCGAGACAACCACGGAACGGCCGCCGAACAAGCGACGCACGAGTGAGCGAGGAAAAACTGGGGGAGACAAAGGGAATGCAATACGCTCGACGGAGATGCGACACGTAGATTGTAATAGAAAAATTGTAATAAATTCCCGGGGAAATTCTTCCGCCGTGTATGCGCGCACATACACATCCGGTGTGCACCGCCAGGTTTTGTACTTGTCTTTACTTGATAGTCTCTGGATTCCACGAGCGCTACGAGCGCAAAGGGCGGGCGGGCGGG